GACCTTAGCACAACCCTAACCCTGCAGCCACCATCCCCAAAACCACAGTGGGAGGGGTTTGAGCAGACAGGGAGATCCCTCTGCCATGCAGAATTCAGCACGGCACCCAGGCAGGAAAATCCATATCTGCCTCAGAATGTTGATCTGTCGGGGGAAATGGAGCACAGATATTTTTAAAACGTGGGGCCATTAAGCTCTCCAAACGGGCCGGCTCACCTGCTATCTTAACAACACGTTGTGACAACATCTTATTTTATAAGAGCTCCTTTCGGACTTATTAACTCTAAGCTGTCTCATCCCATTTGGAGCGAGGAAAATGCCATCGAGATGACCCCTGAAACTGTTTAATGAGCTTTTATGGGGCACAGGAAATTTAAGCACCAGCCCAGGACTTCGGGGAGTCAAAAAAAAAAGTGGGTCAGGAGTGCTGGTGTTTGCACTGCTTTTCGTTTTCCTGCTCTTCCCTCTGACTTTGTGTTTATTGTGGGATGAGTGCACGAATTTCATCTGGGATCTGGTGGCTGTGAAATGATGAAGAGGATGGGAATATTTAAAGCACCATCCTGGCAACCTGAAGTGTCTGTAATAGTGGCACATCCCCCTTTTTTTTTTTTTTTTGCCAAAACCCTTTTTCATTAAAAAATACACCCCCTGGGAGCGTGCCCTTGGGCAAGGGGAGAGGCAGTGCCAAGAGAAATGAGGGTGAGGTCATGGAAAAGGGAAAACCAACTCAGACTCACATCTGGGAACTGGCTGCCAGCATGGAAGAAGGGTGGAAAAAAGGGACATTGGGGCTTCCCAGCCTGTTGCTGGTGGTGGAGGCAGCCTGAGGTTGGGGAGGGGATTGGAAACTCAGCTCTCTGCACGGGGCTTTTTTTCCCAAATAAGTTTATTTCAGATAATAATAATAATAATAATAGACAAATAACAGGCTTTGGGAAAAAATATGTTTTGTAATGAGACTCTGGGAAGCAGGTGAGTTTTCTCAGAGGATTCTGTGATGCTCCATCCCCACCTTTCAGGGACAACCACATCCACCTGCAGAGGCTTCAGCCACACCAGGGCTGGGATGCCTTCAGCTTTGTCCTGACCCTGCTGTCAGCTCTAAGGGAGGCTTGTGGGGAGCTCCTGGCTCAGAGGTGCTGGATGTGGGTGCTCAGAGCCTCTTCTGGGCCCTCTGGGATGCACAGGTAGGAGATCCAGCAGTTCTGGAATATCTGTGAGGGATGGGTGTCTGTCACAGAAAGGGGTTTTTTTTACAGATACTCCTTAGTAATAATAATTTGCTGAGGTCTCTGCTTCTAAGGATTTCTATTTTGCTATGGTGAGCACCTTCTAGTTTTCACCCTTAGGAATGGAAAAGGAAACCTTGCTGCTAATTCTTGGCAGAGCATTCTCCAAAGTGCTCGTGCTCTGCCTTGCCCCCGTTTTATTTATGTTACAATCACAGCTTGGAAAAGCTGAGGAAGTAGCCAAGAAGAATACACACAACTGCCCAGGAGAGATAATCAGTTGTTAAAACATGCCTGCTGCTCTAATTAGAAAGGAAATGGAATTGGGTTTAAAGTGGAATTAACTGAGAGCTCCCTTATCCTGTCCATCTCCTCTGCTTGCCCAGCCCTTCTGGACAAATATGATGGAAATGAAAAAAAAAAAAAAGAAAAAAGCTGATCTCTGAAACCCCCACCCCCCTGGGCCTGAGCCAGGGAATGACATCCCTTCCAATCTGCTCCTCCCAAATGCACCTTCAGCCTGGGTACCACCAGGTACAGAGGTTCTTGCAGAGCTGGTGTTTCTCCACTGCCTTGTGCTGATTTTTGGAAGTGGATGGATTGTGCCTAATAGGTGGCTGAAGCTGTTAGAAATGATTTTTTTTTGTTTATTTAATCGGTGTTGATCCCATTTGATCTTGTCTCCTTCTCCGAGGGAAGAGTTAAAAGGGTCATTGCTGCTGATGGGAATAATGGGAATAACACCAACAGGCTCCTGTGACAGGAGCAGCACTCTGGCCCTCAAATTTGTCCCCTCAAGGGGGAAAGGGTGGGGTAGGCACTACTGCTGCTACTGCTGGCTTTTCCCTTGGATGGAATTCATAGGATCACCGAATGGTTTGGGATGGAAGGAGCCCTAAAAATCCTCTAGTTCCATTGGGATCCCAACAGATCCCAGCCTTCTGCCTGGCCCTAAGGAGATCCTTGCCCATAAATGAGCCAATTGCTGGATGGCTGAAAAAAAAATGTGCAGTCCACAACCTCTGTAATTTGTACTTCCACAAAACTGTCAGGGAAGCGAAATGCAATCGATGGCTCAGACCTGAAGGCTTCAATTTAATCTCTGCAAAGATTAATCTCCAAAGAGTCAAAGTTTTCTCTTGTTATCTCTCTTTTTTTCAGTGCCACCAGAGACCCATCCCATCAGTCTCAGACAAAATCCTCAGGTAATTTCATACCTTTGCACTTGTTTCCTCTCTCTAAATAAACCCCCCTCCTCATCCAGAGCATCAGATGCACCAACAAATTCCAATTGAAATCCTGTTCTCTGGTTGAGGGATTGGCAAAAATGAACAAGGGCATTGATCTGTTATAGGGTGTCCAGAGAAGCTGTGGCTGCCCCTGGATCCCTGGAAGTGTCCAAGGCCAGGTTGGACACTGAGATTTGGAAAAACCTGGGACAGTGGAAGGAATGGAAATTTTATTCTCCAGGAGGCTCCTCTGCCCTCTCCAATCTGCACAGCTGCAAGGACCCCACGGTGTAGCAGCTGTGAGGTGGCTGATCTGCACACTTTTGGGTTTTTTTTTTACTTGTTCCTGGGTGTTTTAGTCACAGGCCTTGCTCCCTTCCTGACCATTTGTTGTGCTGATTGTTTGCCATGAAAATTTGGGCTTGAGCCAGGGAGAGAGGCAGTCTGGAAAGCAGCTGGTACCTGGAGCTGGTCAGAGCACTGGGCTGATGCTCAGATTATTTTGTGATGACTTCTTTTGATCCAGAGCCATGAAGAGGTAAAGGTTTGGAGTTATCACTCCCCTTAAAAAAAACCCAAAACCCTAAAGCACCAAAACCACAAACTCCACCAAAAAATTCAAGCTCTACTCATTGACCCAAAAGTTTGGCTTCCTTCTTCAGGTCCTGTTCACGCTGAAAAAGTCGTGAATAACTGTTCAATGTGAGCTGAAACTTTATACTGGAGGGTGGCCCACAGGCGAGGGAGATTTTTGGGGTTGTTCCATGAGGATGTTGGCAGGAGGAAGCATCACTGAGAACTCCTGACTGATGCCAGCTCAGAAAAGATTTGTGGTGTAAAAACTTACTCTCAGATAGACTGGGAGGCAAAAAAAAAAAAAGGAAAAAAAAAAATCAGGATGAAGAAGGGATGCTGGGAAGTGGGAGCAGCTTTTGGGTCTCCCTGTCACCCTCAGGGTGTTCCTGCCTCCCCCAGGTGCAGCTAAAGCAGGGGAATGATCTTCCCCCATCACTCCCGGGGATTTGGGATGTCCATTTGGGAACCTGGAGTGCTCAGGAGTCCTGCTGTGCAGGACATGGCACAGTGTCAGCCTGGGATCACAGTGCTGCTGGGTTAGAAAGAAATAATAATTCATGTCTCTGTTCCTGGGTCACACTTGAAATTAATGAATGGCTTTGCAAAAATTGGCCACTCTCCTTTTATTAATATGGTTTGGACTCTTTCTTTGCCCGTGGGTGTCTGAGCACAATTTAGGTCATGCTTTCAAGCCCTCTTCCAGCCTGGAAAATAAAATGTTTTATTTTGTGATGAGGTGCAAGCAGGGTCTTCAATGCAGGGGTGGGGAAAGCAAATGTAGTGAGGAACCTGTGACAAACCTGGTGTGACTGGGACGTGGATATCCATCACTGAGAGGCATAAAACTCCACGCCAGCATTCTCAGGGATGTGGTGAAGTCTTCCCAAAGCATTTGCTGCCTGAGGGAGATCTGGCTTTTAAGTGGCCTTAAAGGACCCAAAAAAATGGGAAGGTGTCACAGGGAGGAGGCTGATGGTGAGGCAGAACGGTGGAAGTGGCTCAAAAACCCGAGTTTTGTGTTACAGATGGATGAGAGGAGCAGGGGAAGTGGCATTTCTGTGAGACCTCATCGAAGAGGGGTATTTGGCAGGAGAGGGATGTTAAAGGGAATTTGGAGATTTTCCTTCCCTAGGGGGCCTCGAGGGAAGCAAAAAGGAAAAACCCCACAGAAGCTGCTGTGCCTTGAGCATCACAACCTTCTTGCCACAGTTCCCTGTGTGACATCACCCAAATCCCGGTTTGGGGTGTCTGGGGGGGATTGGGATGCCAGGCTGGACCCCCCACTCCTGCTCCACCTCTAAGGGCTGAGTGCCTGGGTGAGGGCGACAGCAAAACAAGACGGGGGGGGAAAAGAAACCACCTGCACAGGAGGGGGAAATCATCAAGCCAAGGATGAAAACAACCCAACTTGTCCTCTTCCAACGTGAGAACCCTCCTCCCCTGGAAAGAAATAAAAGCCAGAGTGAAACGAAGGTAAATGCCAGAGGTTTAAGCACCGTGCTGCTGAGTGTGTTTTAAAGGTTACCTTTCAGGGGGCTGGAGAGAAAAGGAAGGAGTTGGAGCACTTCCCATTGCGAGGGCCACTCCAGCTCTTAATGGATTTTTATATCCCTGTCTGCTTTTGTGACATTATTCAAATCGCTTGGTTTTAATTTTTTTTTTTTTTTTTTCTTCATCTGGGGGAAGCAGGAGGGCAAACTCGGCTGCCATGGCAATATCCAGCTGCACATCTGCGTGGCTGATTTGGAGCAAAAAAAAAAAAAAAAAAAAGTTTCGGGTGGTTTTTGAAGAGGAGAGAAAGGAGCTGTGTGTAGGTGTGTGTGCATGGCAGGACAGAAGTCACAGGGTTTAATTACAGGCGTGGGGAGGTGACATTTGGTGAGGACAGAGAAATGAGGAGCCTGAAGGAAAGTAAACAGCTGTGTGGAATGGGATTGCTTTACGCCAGAACCCCCCCCCCTTTGAGGTCCACCTAGCAAATATCATCCTGTTTCCTACTCAAAAATATGCCCGAGTTCCTCTGGAAGAGCAGTTCCAAAGTCAGCAGTGGAGAAAGCAAAGTTCTGCTCTGTCTGAGGGGGATTTATTATTTATTATTATTATTATTTTTTATTATTATTTTTTTTTTTTTTTTTGGTTAAAGTTGGAATGAAATGCTTGAGAGAAGGTATTTCGTCTTCGGACTTAGATGTTTATTCATTTTTATTGATGTTACAGCGATTTTTACAGTACTTTTAGTTAACAGGCTAAAAACGGTGATGTGGGGGGTTTTTTTACAAGATTTTTTTAAGTGTAAATGGAGTAATTTAATAATTAATTACTTGTGATTTGCAATGTGGATTTTTTTTTATTTAATTACCAAAGTACTGCTTAGACACTTGAAGAAGAAGGTGAAGAAGAAAGAAACTTCTGGTTTTTATATTTCGTTATATTTTAAAACTTTAAATTTAAAGGCTTTTACTATATGATATTATACATTTTCATTTAATCTATATACTTGTGATCTTAACTTTATTATTTAATTTTGGAAGCTTTTTTTTATGGATTTAGGTCAAAAGCTGTGTTTTCCTATGGGTAGATGCCCATCAGCACAAAAAGTCTAAAATTCTCAGTATCTTTAATCCAGTGTGGGGATGTTTTCTATGGTTTGGGGTTTTTCTGATTTTTTGAGTGTTTTTTTTGTTTTGTTTTGATGTGGTTTTTTGGGTTGTTGTTGGTTTTTGTTTGTTTGTTGGGTTTTACCTCCAGGATCTAAGTGATTTTTTTTAAAATTACTTATTCTCTTGTTTCTTTTGCTCTGATTTAACCAGAAATCCCACCATAAAAATACACTGGAAATGGCAGGGGAAGAGCAGCAAGACAAGCAATTATTTGGGAATATATGGAGCAGACACAAAAGTCATGGAGCACCTGAGCAGTGACACCATGGGAAAGGTATTTTTTTTATTTTTTTTCTTCTGTTTGGGTTTTTGTTTGGATTTTTTTGGGGATTTTTTTTTTTTTTTTGCAAGAGCAAGGTTAGGCATCCTCCCTTAAGGAAAGCACCAGCACCTACATGGGCTTGTTTATGGGATGGCAACAAAAGAGAAGGGATGGGCTCTGAAAAAAAAGAGAGAAAACCACTGGTTACCACCCCCCCGGGATGATTTGCTGTGTGCCAGTGTATATATTTAGTTTGGGATTAATTTCCAGTGCCTCCCAGACCATCCCTGCAGGGTTCCCAGTGACAGCTTAATGTGGCCAGCCCTCCATCAGGACCCCTGCTTATTGCTCTGGGTGACAATGCCACTGCAGTGGGAGGGGGACAAAGCCACAGGGGCAAGGCAGAGATGGAGATTTAATTGGATAATTCTCACTGAAGCATCTCCTGGCTAACCAGGCAGAACCCCACCTGCATCTTTCCCATTTTTTTTTTTTTTCCATGTTTAACAAGGGCTGCATCCCGGGGAGTGGCTGCTGGTGATTAAACCTGGCAGCAGCACTTGCAGCTCTTCTCCAGGGGGCTGGAGGATGGAGTTGGATGTTGCTGCTCCCATCCAGCATCCCCTGGGGAGCTGGGTGCTTGCCTGGGCTCTTCTTTAGGAGTTTGGGCAGCTCCTCAGGAGCAGCAGGATGAGGGATGATGGGGTGTTGTTGTGGGGTTGCCATCACAGTGAATAAACACGAGTTTATTTTGCCTTTTTTTTCCCCTGCGTTTGATCGATAACAGCACAAAGCAGGGCAGTGGGAGCAGAATCAAAGAATCCTTTAAGATGCTCCGGTCCAAGTGTTCCCCCACCACCAAACCTTGTCCCCAGGTGCCACATCCACGTGGCTTTTACGTCCCTCCAGGGATGGAGAGCCCAGCTCTCCTCTGGCAGCCTGTGCTGGTACTTGATGACCCTTTCCATGAAGAATTTTTTCCTGCTGTCCAACCTGAGCCTCCCCTGGCACAGCTTGAGGCCGTTTCCTCGTTTTGTTTTTTACCTGGCAGCAGAGCCCGACCCCCCCTGGCTGTCCCCTCCTGTCAGGGAGTTGTGCAGAGCCAGAAGGTTCCCCCTGAGCCTCCTTTTCTCCAGGCTGAGCCCCTTTCCCAGCTCCCTCAGCCTCTCCTGGGGCTCCAGACCCTTCCCCAGCTCTGTTCCCTTCCCTGGACACGCTCCAGCCTCTCAATGAAATGAGGAACAACTGAAAATGTCTGGAGCTGTTTATTTTGCACTTCTATCCATCCAAAACAGCCTGAATGGATGGGTTTGTTTCTCCCAAGGCCAGGCTGGGCACAGACATCAAGTCAAGGAAAGACCTGCACGAGAAAGTCACAGAAACAGGCTTAAAAATACAAGAAACATCACTGGAAATTTCTGGGGTGTTTCCCATCCCGGACAACCTGACCTTCAACTGGTCAAACTCCCTCCCCCCCCAATTTTAACCAGCTGTCAGTGCAAACACAAGGTTTGCTGTTCCTGGAAACACTGATCCATCCCCCAAGTCTTGAGAGAAATTCATGCTGCCCTTGTCCCTCCAAGGAGGTTTGATTCCAGGAGCTTTATTTCTCTCAGGAACATCACACTGTTCTCTGGGAGGTTGCTCTCTGCTTTGACCCTCAGGAAACACGTCCTGGAAGATGTCACTTGGTGGGGAAGCAGAAATGTGTTTGTCTGGAAAGTTGCAGAAGCAGGCTGGGGAATCAAGCCCCAGGAAGGTGCAGGAATATTCCCAGTTCTCCCCAGCAGTCCTAAAAGCAGTGGAGAAAGCTGCTCTAGGACCTTCTGCCACAGGAACCGCCCCCCTCAAGGTGGATATTTACCACATTGGAGGGGGAAAATCTGAATAAGAAGCTGATAATTCCCCAACTCTCCAAATAAGCAGTGGGTAGTAAATTAACAGCAGCAAGTGGAGGCAGGTGACTCAAGCTGACTCAGAAGGAGTCACAGGGAGCATCCTCCTCCCAGAGCCTGGTCACAGATGTCCCTTAACCAGAGGGGACCTCTCAGAATGCCATCAAACGCCATCGGGTTTGCCCACTTTGGTGCTCTAAAGGTGATTGAAATTAATGGGCTCTCACAGCCTGGCTCCATCCAGGGGTCAGATTCCACAGGAGAAGTGGTCACAGCAGGAGCTGCACGGCTCAGCCTGGCAAGGGGCATTTCAAATCCCTGAGGGGTTTCTGCATTTCAAATCCAGATGTGGATTTTAGCCGAGGGACAGGGGTGGTGATAGACATTAGAGACCCCTCAGGAACTCCATTGCAAACAAGGCACCTCCAGCCCCCACAGAGACATGTGGGATGTCCAAAACTCCTGAGAGGCTCTTGTTCTCATCATTGTCTGAACTCCAGCAGCTGCCACCCTCCTACCCTTCTCCCTGTGCTTACTGTGTTAGAGAGAGAAAGAAAGAGATGGCAAGAACAGCAACTTTTTTTCCCCTAAAAAAAGTCCAACTTTATTGAATGTATTTAAAGTGTGTTATGGAGAGTTAAGATAGGACAGTAGTTGATTGGCTAATTGGGAAAAAACATCAGTGAGACTGTGCTTTAGAAGAACACTAGGTGTTAATCTTTATTGTGAATTCTATTCTGGTTTTTTACTAGATTTCATGCTGGTTTGACCAGATTATCATCCTGGGAGAATTTCTCCCCAGCTGAAGCTGGAACCATCTTATTAGCCTGGGAATGAAGCTGAAAAGCTCGAGCCTGAAGGATTTTTTAGGTTGTAATTTTTCTACCTTTCTAACAGTGTGTCCACATCTCCCCTTTATCCACGATGGGGTTGTGGGTGCAAACAGAGACCTCGAGCCCCATTGCAGTGTCTGAGGATGAGAACAGCACTAAAAAGAGGTGGAGAGGATTTTTGGACAAGCACACGGAGTGACAGGATGAGGGGGGATGATTCACATGGACAGAGGGGACAGGGTTAGATGGGATCTCGGGAACAAACTCTTCCCTGTGAGGATGGTGGGGAGCTGGTATTGAATTCCCAGAGGAGCTGTGGCTGTCCCATCCTTGGAAGTGTCCAAATCCAGGATCTTGGAGCAGGCTGGGATAGTGGAAGGTGTCCCTGCCACGGGAACAAGTTGATCTTCTGTGAATCCACGGCTCCAGCCAGGAAGAAGAGCAGGAAATGCAGCTCCCAAATAGAAAAGCACTGGGATGTGTGGCTGGAGACCCCAGCCCCTCCACCTGTGACCTTCCCAAATCCAGCCTGCCCTGTCCCAAATGTGCCTGCAGACCCCCTGGCAGGTGAAATGCAGGAGGAAGCCGGGCTGTGCCGTGGGGAGCACCACGTGTCACTCACCAGAGGATGTTCCCAGAGCTGGGCAGTGACACACATTGTTAGCAGGGCCAGGCTGAATCAAGAAAAACAAGTGAGATGACACTCAGAGATCAGTAATTCCTCCCCCTCACTCATAACTCTGTCAGCCCTTTCAGCTGGATTGTCAAAATGCGTTTGTCACAGAACAATTCCTGCTCTTCTTTTCTTTTCTATGATTATTATTTTTTCCTTTCTTTCTGACGCTGGCTGAACTCATCCTTTTGGAACAAAACCCAATATTCATTTCCTCTCTGGGCAGTTGATTTTATTATTGGCTCACCTGCTCCAGCAGTTGAAAAGCTATAAGACTGGCTGGATCTTCAAAATTAAATTCTGCTGGACTTTTTTTTTTTTTTTCTTTTTTTTTTTTCTTTTTTTCCCTCCCCAGCCTCACGTATTCCATGACTGCAGGTTACTGGCATGGATTTGAAGACGTACTTGGCAAAGGTACTTTCTGTCTGGGACAGGGATGAGCAAAACAGCAAGCCTGTTTCTCTCTAAATCAGCATCTTTCCAAAAGCTCAGGCTGTTCCAGAGCAACTCAAACCTTGTTTGGGCCTTGCCCTTCTTTTCCTGGGGATGAAGTGGAGCTGTGGGCAGCCACTGATGTTCTGTTGGGGAAACGAGGCTAGAAGAGGAAAATGTGGGATACTTTGGGGGTTTTCTGAGGGGAGGAAAGCTCCAGCTCACCTTCAGCTCAGCAGCTGGGAGCTCTGCCAGGCTGGGAAGGACTTGGGATGCTGCTTGGTCTTGGGCTTCTTCCCAGGTTCCCCAATTCCTGCCATCACAGGATGAATTTTGCTGCTTCAAGGGCTGTGTTGAGAAGGCCAGGATAAGTTCTGCATTCCAGTGCCAGCTTTGCTTATTTTAGCTATTTCTCTTCCCTGCTGGGAGAAGAGAAAGGTCTTGGGATGGAGAGATCCATATGTCCCATTACATCTCTACGACCAGCCCTCCCCATCCAGACCCAAAATGCTCCAAGGGCTGCAGGTGAAGATCTTGGAAACTCCAGGTCAGAGTTGCTGAATTAAATCTTGGGGCAGGAAATGGGTTGGCCAAAAACTGAGTGTTCTCAGTGCCTCCTGGAAGTTCTGCCTCCTGTCCTACCTGGAAGTTCCAGCCACAAGACAGCGCCGGTGTTTTCACTGGGAGGAATATTTTTAGCCTGGCAAGGGAAGTTTATTCCTTCAGACAGTCGTACCTTGGTCTGTCACAGCAAGCACAGGAGCCAGGGATGGCACCAGCACCATCCCAGAGCATCCCCAAACCATGGGGGATCCAGATGGATCCAGACCTGCCTGCCTGGGTCAAGGCTGGAGGCGTGTTAGAACACAAAAAGCAATCACAGCTGAAAATGAGAGCAAGGGGAAGTGTGAAGAAAACCCAGTGGGTGTCAGATGAGCCCCCTTGAACTTGCCCTGAGAGATGTCCCACATGGATAACACCCAGGGATGGGGCTGCACCCGTGGATTGCTGCCCTGGAAAATGGCTGTGTGAGCTGGGGGTGCTGGGTGATGCTGCTGCTGCTCCCTGAGCTGCCAGGAAATTCCTCACCGAGCTTCCACAGGTGAGGAAGGCCGGGCACCCACCCTTTATCCAGGCTGGAATTCCCCCAGTGATCCTCCTGATAAGCCAGGAGCAGGAGGATGAGGAGCACTGTGAGCTGTTTCCTGCTGCACCCGAGGGTCAGATGAAGAGGGGTCAGACGCTAATTACCAGCTGCAATCAAGGAATGGGCAGGACCAGCCTCGTTCGTGGGACTGGGGTGGCCTGGTCTGAGTGTCCAGCCCCTGCTTCTGTGCCTGCTCACCTGGAGCTGCCTCCCAAAGCAGCTTGAAACCCAGGAGAAGAGGACAAATCCCAGTGGAGTGCATGCAACACCTGGATTTTAGGATGAGGATGCTGCAGGAGGCCCCAGGGGATGTCTGGCTGGCTGGGAAAACCTCTCTGCCTGCATCTCTGCCCCGACATCTGCACTGTCAGGAAACACAGAGCACCTGCTGCCTTTGGGCTGGTGTTTTATTTAACCCCCAGCGCCATCCCCCTGCTAAATCAAGACCTCCAGCCTCCCAAAATCAGCCTCCTGCAGAGACCTTGGCTGAGCTGCCCGGGGCAGCAGCAGCCGGGATAGGGAGGAGGACGGATCTGGGACTCAGAGTGCACCAGAGCAGGTGATTGTTTTACTCTTTTGGGGACAGGAGGAAGCAATTGCCATGTGGCACTGGCTGGCTTTACCTGGAGGGTGCAGCTGATGAATAGGAGTGTTTCACTTGCCGCAGGCTGAGCCTTGCAAAGCTCAGGAGAGTTTTTTTCCTGAGCTGCTCCATTAACACAAACAGACAGCAATGCGAGCTGCTGACACCGGGGTTAATTAAATCCATCTCTCCATCAATTCTTATTCAGCTATTATCGATGGTCATTAGATCAGCGACAAAGTGACAAGCAAACAGTAATAGACTCATCTTAACCCTTGTGCTGCTGGAGGAGGGGAAGCGGTGCAGGTGAGAGGGGAGGTATTCTCTGCTCAAATTCTGTCTGCTCTCCCTTACAACATCCCACCTGCATTTGAATGAGTCCTCTGGGCAGGCCAGGTCACTCCTCCAGCAAGGAGTCCGTGCCTGTGTCCCTCTCTGTCCTTCTCCCACAGCTCCATGGCCCAAGGTCATACAAGCCCAGGAGGGTTTGGGTTGGAAGGGCCTTTAAGGATCATTCTTGTTCCATCTCCCTGCCGTGGGCAGGGACATTTTCTATTATCCCAGGCTGCTCCAACCTGGCTTTGGACACTTCCAGGGATACAGGGGCAGCCACAGATTCTCTGGGCACCCTGTGCCAGGTCCCCACAGGGGCTGCAGCGTTCCTAAGGGATGCTGGGGACAGAGAATGCAGTCAGTGACATGAAGGCTGCAAGCAGCCATGGCACAGAGAGGGCACGATGCTCTGGGGCACCTGCACCTTAGTGTTGGTCCCCTGGGTCACAAAATCCCTCTGGTCACAAATCTGCCCCAAACTTTCAGGCAGAGCAATGGGGGGATGCCACCCATGGGATAAAAAAGCCAGGATAACTCCACCCATGGAAGGACACGAAGAAGAAGAAGAAGAAGGGAATATTTGGCTCCTGGAGCTGTTCCTTCTCTCATAAGGCAGAGCTGCTCCCCCTGCCCCCACAGCCATGTCCTGCAGGCCCTTCCAGTGCCACTCACACTTTCCCAGTCAGGCTGGCAGGGAAGAGCTGTGGCTGCTGCTGCTCTCCTCCCTGTCCCCCTCTGATTAACAGCTTAAATGAGAACTGAAGGCTGCCCAAGGGCTGCAATGCATTTTCACGCTCCTGCCGCCGCTGCCAACAAGGCAATGTCCAGCTCCCTTCAAGGTCACTCCCAACCTTCAAGTGACTTTCCAGCACTTGTGCCCTGTGGTTTTAACTCCTGAAGAGTTGGGGTCTCGCTGGCAGTGCTGAGGTTCACGTGATGGTGGGTTGGGAAATGTCAGCAGTAAAATAAACAGGTAATTTTGTGCAGGTAAGTAACCCATGCAGGATTTTTGTCTGCTGGTAAATCATAGAATCACTGAATGGTTTGGATTGGAAGGGACCTTAAAGATCATCTAATTCCAACACCTTCCCATGGGCAGGGACACCTTCCACTATCCCAGCTTATTCCAAGCCCCATCCAACCTGGCCTTGGACAGGGACGGGTCATCTTCCACCCCTCTGTGCCTGTATTTTACCACCCTCACTGTAAAAATCTTCTTAACTGCGTGTAAGATAACAGCCTTACATAAAAGAAATAAATATAAAAAAATATTTTTGTGACCACTTTTCTCCCTCTTTCAATCCACCTTGCTCTTGTGCAGTTGGAATTGGCTCGGCCCTGGTGGTAGGGATGTGATTTTTTTCTGGAGAAGATGCCTGAAATCTTCCCTCCCAATCTTTGCTGCAAGGACGAGGTTTCTGAGGGCTGGCATCTGTGCTGGCAGGGGAAGTGTGTGTTCCTGCAGGATTGCCTGGGAACAGTTAATGGCTCAGTGCTGGTTCATGGCTCTCCAGGACACGCTGCTGCCTCCTCCCTGTTTTTTTGTGGGGTTCAGAGATCTCGGTGAGTGCTGCAAATAACTTTCTTTGTGTTGCTCTTTACAGCAGCTTTTAACACCTGAAGAAGCTGCAACGTGCTCCAGAGCTGGTGTAGAAACAATTTATGAAGCCTTCCTTGCCAGAGTGGGGAAATGGGCAGGCACAGAGTGAATACCCAGGGGGGAAAGGAGGCAGGATGCTGCAAGGTGAATGCCTGGCACACCTCTGTCTCCAAACACAGCCCTGCTGCTGGAGAAGGACCTCCTGGATGGCACCCCAGCCATCACCCAGGGATGATGGAATAGGGGATCTTTAGTGCCCCTTCCCATCCAAACCAGCCTGGGATTCTGGATGTCTCCAATCATCCCCCTGTGCACATAGCCAAGGTGGTATTTTATTCTTGCTCTGCCTCAGTGAAGGGATACAGGGAAAAAAGTCCTTTATTCCTGAGGCAGGGGGGAAACAGCACGGAGGGATGAAAGCTGATTCCAGCTCCAGGGCTGCTCTGAAGGGAAGGGTGATTGCCCCTGATCCAGGAAAGTGCTTGTGTCTGGTGGGGATCCAGCTGGGCCTGGACACAGCACTGGGAAAGGGAAGGGTGTGAGCAGGGGACAAACACAGCAGAGCAAAGCCCCAGCTCGTCCCTGCTCTGCTCAGCAGCTCCAACCTCACACACGTCCCTCCCCTCCCCAAAAGGGAAATAATTGCCATATTCATTTGTGGAGGGAAATAATTGCTTCATTCATGACACAAAGTCAATTTTTTGTCCTGAACCAGAGGGAGCCCTGGACTGACAGAGGGAATTTCAAGGAGAGCAAAAATCAGCCTGGCATTTGTATCCTCAATTAAAGGCGAGAAGGAGCCAGCGGTGAGTTTTGGGGTTTTTTTTTCCTTTTTCCCTCTCCCTCTGTTTTTTTGCACATCAAATCAGATAACAGCTAAAATGTTCTGGCTTCTCCAGCTCAGGCTGGGGGGAGAGGAAAGGTCTCCTTTAACTTCACTGAAATCAAAAGATGACTGTGGCAGGAGCTCTTTCCCTCTCTCATTCCATGGCAGCTGGGTGAGGAATGATGGGCAGACAGGGACAACCTGTTGGTCATTTAGTGGGGCCAGGAGAGGCACAGGCAAGAGCTTCACACAGGTGAAAAAATTTGTCTCAATAGATGTGGTTTTCCCCATCTGCACCACCAGGATTGAACCCGGTGATCTGTGATAGAAAATTGATGAAACATCCATGCCAGGGGGTGGATATCGAAGGAGGAGCCATAAACGTTGTACAGGACTTTTCTTAAATCTTTAACCACCCTTGGGTAACCTTGAGAGGGGTGTTTAGGAGTTGGTTCAGCAGCACTGGGAGCAGGGAGGCCAAGGGGGTCTGGGGTGGGATATCCATCCCTTTGGATGGGGCTGTCCAGCTCAGCCAGCAGCACAGGGAATGCCATGGAA